TATTCCTATTATTTCTATCCCTCGTAGATTCAATTACCAACACGATTGTCTATTTCGACCAGATACTCGGATGACTAGCGGCTACAAAAACAAATTTGACATTGCAAATGTTTAAACTCGTTGCTAGTTACAAATAGGAGTAAGCCCTTCTCACATTAGGCGACTGCCAAAAATAATATCTCAATTTTTTTACAGTAAACTTATACGTGTTAAGTCTTGATTAACTGTGTTACGTCGTGCCCAGAGACAATCCACTGCTCTATTTAAATTGTACAACAATCTACTATGAATAATTTATGAAGAAACTCAATTGTTATCCGGTTTGTTAAATAATTTACGATATTGTTCCATCTATTACAATTGTGACGTCATTAACGCAATAATTATTTTTTTTATTTGGGTATAATAAAATCATTAGCAAGTAATTAAAAATATAAGAGTTCTAGAAATAGAACCTTAAACAATTTTTGTTATTTGTTTTACGTGTGTTAGTTTCTGTTGGCGCTATACTTATAACACTTGTGTATATCAATATATGATGTATCAGTATATCGTAAGAGGTAGACAGTACAAATTGGTCTACGAGGGTACTAGTCTCATCAGAATGGAAACGCATGTACGACGGACGTAACATTACGGCACGGTGTCTGTGATGCTATCCATGTAACATAGATGACGTTTACTTACCAGGTGAGACTAGCGTCGTTGGAATTTCAGTGACATGAAAAAAAAACATAAAAAATGAGCAGAATAAACAGAATAAACAAGAGAATTTAGAAAAAGCGCTGTATTCTATCCTACTGATAAGGAGATGGCTAGAAGCTCTTATGAAGCAATAGGTGCGATAATGGCTTAGCGTGTTGATTATTAAAGTGGCTCAACGTGCGAAGTGGCCTATTGCTCAGCACCGGATGATGAATGACGGGTCTTCGGCTAGTGGCCGCAGTTTTTTGGACATAATAGCCACGACCCACCTCCGTGGTCAATGCTCCTAGACACGCGATGGATTTTACAACCGCTTCTATTAATTATAACTGCCTCGCCTTTAAAAACCATTTGTTAATGATAATGACTTTCTAATTTCTTCTAAGTGAAGAGACAAAGTCAAAAATAAACATATTCAAAGTAGGTTTGCAGCACGTGAATTGCAAATGCCGGGCAAATAGTTTTAAAACCGCTAATATTTGGGTCTAATATACTTTATTTCGGACACCCTTAAAATATCTATGCAATAAAAGGGTAATATGAGTGAGATCTATATAAAATATTTATTTGTTTTTAGTTATGTAGGGATTCTTTTGCATATAAAAATGTATACTTGGCGGACTTAATGCCTGATGGCATTCTCTACCAGTCAACCGTCGCGTTGATCAGAGATAGTAAGGCAGGGCAATTTCATATATTTATAAATTTAATTAAAAAATTAAATGACTATATAAATTTAATTTTTCATAGCTAAACATCGATTAAAAATGTTATAAAATCTTTTGTAAACTCCAGCAATACTGGATGTGAATGTATAATTAGCTTTATTATATTTGTAAACTTCTAATTAATATTTGTTTTTATTTGAAAGTTGAGACTATATATAATAATCAATTTTTTTACTTAACAATTTAATCGCATTTTGAACGTTAGAACTAGGCTAGTTAACCTGTGTTACTATGTAAGATAACTTGATACGGAGTGTAAGTATTGATGTCTGTATTTATTAATATTATATAATATACAATTTATTGTACCAGATACGTAAAAGTATTAAAATACACTACAACAAAAGTCTTATCGCTAAGCAATCTTTTGCAGACAACTTTTGTATTGTAGGTAAATATATGAGGGAAATGATAATTGCAAATAACCAGTCCAAGTGTTACTATTAAATTGTGTAATATTGTCAAATACCTGAATCTGAACAATGAATTAAACATTTTAATTAACATAATTACCCAACGGCGCAGTTGTGTTAAATTCGCATTACGTCGAACGACCACAAACTTGCTCCCTTAAAAAGCAAGGAACCAGATCAAGTTTGTTAAATGACCGTTTGTGGTTGCAAACAAGTTGTGTAACATATAATAGTTATTACTCGGTAATTTGTGTGCTTTTTTTTTCGGATAAAACATAATCTTTTAGCATCAGATGGGCCACCAACATCTTTTAGATAAAAGATAATTGGTGGTATACAAACATACGGTCCATCTGATAGTAAATGGTTACCGTAGCCTATGGACTCCTGAGACATGGGTGTCTAGTCTTAAGGAGCCTTACTACCATTTTTAAAAAAGCCCATGCTGTTGCCATTTTTAAAAAAGCCCATGCTGCCCATTGTTTCGTGAGAAAACCTCGCCAGGTGGTTCAATCCACAATCTAAGTATACGCGAGAGGAAGCTCCTCTGAAATCTCACTGTCTGAGACCACAAGCTTTAATTAATAAATACATAATTATAATAGAAATGAGACTGATTTCTGTATGTACACGAAACATTTTACATATGATAAAAATCGCTGGCTGTATATGAAATACAACATTAATAATAACCCTGGACAATTTACACAGCAGTGCAGGACCGATTGTCGTGGAGATTTTTGGGGTAGACCTTTGTTCAGCAGTCCGAGCTGAAATGATGATGATTCACACAGCTTCATCATAGGAGACTTTTATTCAATACACACATAATATACATAGTAAACATTCAGGGTACAAACAATGTCAATTATTTTATTATTAATCACATTCCTTATGATAACTTGAACATCTATACTTAATATAAACATTCAAATGCAACTCAAGTATATTGTTTAATAAATAAATAAATCATACATATGCATTATGCATACAAACGTTTACATCATGCGAGGAATCGACTCGCGACCATCGGAAGAAAAGCAGTGTGCCAAAAGCGCTAGACCACTAAGGCCGTTAACAGAGATATAAATGCGGATGACTTTCTACAGCCTCCCTCTACTCTATCTCACTACTAGGTCGCCGACGTATCTCTGTAACAAGTAACCTATGATTATGTATGGCCAATGTAACAATTATGTAATGAACCTTTGACCTATCGCAAACAAGCCGAGTAGGTACTTCAAATGTCGTTCAGGTACATAGCAACCGCTGTCACATACTGTATTATAGTATTATGGTCTGGTAATACAATTATCGGATTGCGGTCACTCGTCAAGTCTAAGCCTGCCATTGTTAAGATTTTTTCTATTTATTTATGTTTACAGATAGTGGTCCGTGTCGTTAATTTCTTCTGTTCAGTATTAATTTAATAACATTTTTATAAACCTTTTATGGTATTGCGCACTATATAAATTACAATTAAAATCAAATAGAACCTTAATAATAGACAGAATATTTATTACTAAAATAATAATAAACTCAAAATCAAATTACTGTCAAAATGTGAATAAACTTAACAATAAACAAAATTTGTCTAGATGATTATTCAAACAGAATCTTTTGTAAAGTTTTGTAAAGTGCAAATTTGATTTTTTTTTTTATTGAATAGAAACTGTAATGTATTTTAAAATTTGTATGGAAGACTGTATGTGAATTTGATCAAATTGGGTTAGTTCTAGTATAATTGTGAAATTCAAAAGAATGTCCTTGCCGGTGAAATATCAGTTACTTTTTTTTTGCATAAAACTAGCATGCAGGAATACAGTACCTAATAAAAAGAATCATCATCATAAATCAAAGTAGCACTACAGAAAGTAGTCCATTTAATTGCATCATCAATGCCTGGCCATACCTTTCAACTATGCCGGGCCAGTCATCGTAAAACAAATACATTTTAGTACCATCACGCCATTGTTCTCGACTCTCCATTTTGCAACGTTAGTGGAGCTTCTATTAGGTTATTGCCAATTTTTCACAGAGGCTTCCCGTTAGCCTTTGTAGGCGCACTACAGAATGACCTTAATATTTCATGATTAAAGGCCTGAGCAGACTAGAAAAATGGTCAGTGTATTTGCTCCCTTAAAATACGGCAAACGAATTGCATGTTACAACGAAATAAAAAGAAAGAAAGAAAGAAATAGTTCTTACCATATATAATAAAATACAATTTTGTCAGGCTTGACATAAAATTATCAATTATTTTTGTTTATATTAAAATGACAGACAAATATACCGCACCATAATATCACCAGGAATTTGTTAAGGAAGGAAGTTCTGGTTGATTCCTGGAATGATTAAATAAAGCACGCTGATATTATAAGTTTTACAGTTAGTATAGACAAATTCACAAAACTTGCTTGAGTTTTGTAATGATTTAATGACACAAGGGAAGCATTTGAATATATCTCGTTCGAAATTGAATTTCATTCTGCAGTCTTAAAGTTGAAATTTGAATACAGTGCTGTAAAGGGGGACTGTATGAATGGTCGACGCGAGGGCTAGCCAAGGACACGTATTATGCAGATCCGGCGATGCTGGGATGGACTGGGTGTATAGAAATTGAATCTTAAGGTTCACTGATTTGAATTGATGATATCTCTTCATATATAATCATAGATTTTAAGTAATTACGATATTTCTCATTCCATTTTCAAATTATTGATAACCTCAGTGATCTAGTGGTTTAATACACCGTCTTACTTGTATGGACGCGGGTTCTCGCACGGTATAAACATTTATAACCATGAGTATGATTGCTTGTATTGGACGGGGTGTTTTCTATGTTTTTTATATATGAACTAGCACTCACGGCCACGCGTGTGGCTAAGATTCTTGAATAAAATAATATTGCGACTATATATAGAGATATAAGCTATCCTAACTCTCAAGTTAGATGAAATTGCACACAATATGTAAATCAAATTTGCAATCGGTTCAGTAGGTTAGAAGCCCATCGTAGACCAACAACGTGACACGTAATTTTTATATATAAAAATTTAAATAATTCTTATCAATATTTTGTACCGCTATAGATATAGAATATGCATTACGTTAATATAAACCAATCTAATAATTAAATCTCTTTTGTTCGCAGGATTGGTGTCTTAGTAAAGGCACATCGATGAGATCTCACTAGGTCTCGGACGAGCGTCGCCACGCTGCTTGGATTACTTACTTGTAAGTAAAATTTATTTGTTTATAATTATTATATATATAAAGTTAAAAATGTTAAATACTCTGCAAATAAAAATGAATGAATAAATTACAGCTAAGAACCGTCGCAGCTTTCAACCAATATAACCGCATCAAAATCGGTCCATTTGTTAGAGAGCTACGATGCTACAAATAAACACAGATATGCACACTTCTAACTCCCCTCTTTGCGTCGAGTTTCAAAAGTGTGCACTAACTGAGGTAGACGACTCAAGCAGACGACACTTTAAAAAATGTACCTACCTCGTAAAAATCATTTTAAAAATATGTTGTATCTTTATATCTCATAGTATAAAATATGTAGCTGTCGATGTCTGTTCGTTTTATCTTCTAAATTACGGAACTAATTTTAATGCAGTTTTCAGAAATAGATGTTATTCAAGAGGAAAGTTTATGTGTATAATACATGCGTGTTATAGTGTAGATAGAATAGCTGAGAAATTAAAAGATTTGTAATGCATTGCATCCGTACGATGCCCGGGCAGATCGCTGGTAATGTGTAATAATATATACAGTGCTTGCCATGTTTCATAAATACTATGATATTGGTATGTGTTTACATATTTATTGCGTTGTGTAAAAGTCACCTTGTATGCTAGTCATTAGGCAAACATTTACAAATATTATAATAGTAAAATACATTGTACTTCAATGTTATTCACAATGAAATTCATCTGTGTTATCTATAACATTTGTTTTTGAGGGCAATTAATATTTAATTATTGTTATAAATTGATTGTTTATTTATTCACGTCCTCTACATTTGTATTTTTCCAACTTTTCCTATGTAGGTTTATGTATAACTGGCTACACGGCCCGGCTTCGCACGGATGCACATGTATTATATATATAAACCACTCTATCTATTTAAAAAAAACCACTTCAAAATCCGTTGCCGTAGTTTTAAAGATTTGCGCCAGCGGTTTACGCTGGCTGGCTACCAGTGGAAGATGATAAGATGACGTGACAGCAATCGTGACCAGGAATTTATTCTTCCTAGTTTCCAAGGTGTATCATCTACTATTTCACGTCTAAAATTATTAGCACCTTCAGGCAGACAGATTGATTATTAAAACGTATAAAAAGGACGGGACAAATTGAAAAAACTTTTTCGTCGGTTTAAAACCAAGAACCAGGATATATCATCTCACATGACTCTATTCTAAGGAAATGGCAAACGGCTGGACAAAGCGTGAATCCCCCAATCATCCAATAAAAGGTCGTTGCACTGTATTTGCAGTATTATCAATTTAGGCTCGGTCGCAATGTCGCCGGTCGCGGATTGTCAAGCGCATTGTTATGTGGTAGGTATACCTACGGCGCCTGCGCACGGTGATTCATTGCCACCAGTAGCTAGATTGTCTATGGAGAGTAAATATATGATAGCCGCTTATGAACGTCAAATTTCTTATTTATAATTTTGATCCCTACCAATCGTTCCCTACCAGTTTATCCAGTTCAGTATACAGATACAATTGAGAAGAACTGGCAAGAAACGTAATTGAATTTCTTTATTTTTGAAAGCCAGTTTATTTATATAGGTGTCTATGTCTAACATTAAATGAAAATCCCGTGCATTAACAACTATTGTCATGCACGCTCGTCGTTTAAGTAATCGTTTAGTGAGTAATAGGCTTTGCTCAGTAAATATGATTTAACAGATGTTTTGAATTTATTTATGGGTAATTCATACATCCAGTATTATCATTTGTTATCTTATTGTAAATTTTTATAATGACAAACTTGCTGTTGACAAACAAAGTCTCGTTTAGAAAAAGTCAATGGGTCTTTTATGGGAATGGGTATATAAATACATAAAAGTAAAAAAAGTCTAATGGGTTGACTTTTTCTAAACGAGACTTTGGAACAGCAAGTTTGTCTTTAAATCTACTTAGTATTAATATTATTCACATAACCTTATATTCCCTTGTATTTATTGATGATGCAGTGACCATCAGACAACTTGACATGAGTACCCAGCACAAGACGCGGCAGACTCCGTCTCACAAGGATATCTGTTGTTAATATTTAATAAACGCCGCAATAATACCCCAGCCGCTCAGGACAGACCGTACTGGCGAGGATTTAACAGACGGGCGGACCCAAATAAATGGGACTAAGACCAGGCAAAAGCTAATGCCCGCATCTTCTTCGATGATAACCACTTAGTAATATGGCATGAGAAATGATCGATTCCTCATACATATTTTATCCCCTGTATTCATTCCGACCGTCATGACGACCTCGGTGGTCTAGCGGTCTAGGACACCGCTTTACGACCGATGGTCGCGGGTTCGATTCCTCGCACGGCACAAACATTTGTATTCATGAGTATAATTGTTTGTATCTGTCTGGGTGTTTTCTATGTATAATATGTATGTATTTACAAAAAAAAACTATGTATATGTATCAGTTGTCTAGTACCCATAACACAAGCTTTAGCTAACTTAACTTGGGTCTAGATAGCGCTGTGTGAATTATTATTATTCATGGTATATTTTCGAGGCATACGTTAAAAGATGACAAATGGACAAGAGTTTTTGTGATGTCCCTGATTTTATTCATGTATATTGACGACGGTTATCATTTTTACCAGTTAATTCATCATTTTTTTAACACGCCAATTCATCATTGCTTTTATTTATCCGATTATTTAGAGACGGCGCAGTGTGTCATCTTCAACTGGTCGCTATCGACCGTCATATCTGAGTTTACTCTTGTTTTTATGCATATCATATTTCACACAGTCATTCCAATTTTTTTAGGTCGTATTCTCCACTTAATTCTTCTCCTCGTTCATATTATTCTTTTTCTATTTTTACCAGTAACTTTACATGCTTTAATGGTTCTGTAAGACGTGTCAATGCTTTGTAGAGAAAAATAATGTTGTAATAATAATAATTATTCTTGCAGTTAGATAAAAATGTACTAATTAAGGTACATATAATCTCACGCTTTATATCATTAGTATTGTATGCTTCATATCGTTTAGCATACATAAATGGTGACTCGAGTTATGTATGTGCGTCACACACACTGCGAATTAATATGCACCCAGTCATTGGGTAGCTCACGATGAAGTCGTGAGCTTCCTACGTGATGATGATTCCATTTACCCCACATACCATCACTATATCTGCATGATATAATGAGTTTATTATCCATTGGTTGAAATGTAAACATATACAACCGTAAAGGGGGGGGGATTGTTAGTAATGTGGACTAATAGTTATAATAATAATTGCTAGCAATGTACCTTGGCAGATTAACATCCACGTAAACCACCTTTGGAATTTATTATAATAAGTCCCTGGTAAATTTATCATGAGGGGCTAACTGACCTGACCTCATGCCGATCGTTAGCGCAGACGGGTGCACCATTCCATTATCATCCAGTTAAAATAAAAACCGTCACATACAGGGGCTGGACTGGCAGGGGACATCAGTCCACATTACTATTGATCTCCTGTGCACCCAGCCGTGTATTTATTATGCATAATTAAAAAAAATATAGTGTTCTGCACTCTCTCTATATAAACTATAACTGCGCGAAATTTCACGCTCCTACATTCGCGCAAATTTCGTAAAAGCGGGGGTAGGTAGGTACAAAGTTTTTGCATCACGTAATAATATATATTTTAATATAATAATAAACATGTTGCGTAAATTGTTACCACGAAAATTTCACCTTGACAGACATTTAAATTATTATAAACAACGAAATATGTTTAAAACGGAAACCAACTAGTAAACATTATTTAATATTATTTTATAACAATGTTTTAATAACGGATTCTGTAGCCTTTATAATTATAATGGGCATATTATATGCAGCCTTGGTGATTTTATCGCGGCCAAGCGGTTGCGAAACTGATAAAGTGCAAGTTCGAATTCGTTACAAACTGTTGGGTACACGACAGTCTAATTATAAATGCGTCTGCACAAACATAACTATCTTTTCATTTCTATTGTGTGCCTCGGTGGTTTAGCGGTTTCACACGCCGCCTTTTGATGGTCTCGAGTTCGATTCCTCACAATGTCTCATGCGTTGCCTTAATTAAAGTGTTATTTCTTCGTATCGTATGATTTCACTGTCATATTATGAAAATAAAAAGTCTTATGTATGTGGCGCAATGTAGTCGCTTATGACGGGTGCTACTTGAAGTGGCTGGTCTGCACTGATACGTGTAACTGATGTATTTTCTTACTTAAGTAACTATTATATTTATTTAGTTTTATTAATCTTACTATTTGGCAGTTTTTATTCACACAATCATAAATATGTAATGTTGAACAACATTTATTTAAAAGAGCAACATGCAAGTTAAGATTCGTTCTCGTTCTTCTTGGGATGTGTTTGCTTTCCTAATGAGCGGTAGAATCAAAAGAATATTATAAGACGAATATAATAATAATATAAGAATATTTATTTGAATAAAGTTTATTTATATTCTATTTTATAAACGTCAACATTTTTATTTTTTTGTCCCTACCGAGACTTATATATATTTATTTTTAAAACCAGTTTGTTAAGATTGTTACTTAGTTAGCTGTCTATGACTAACATTAAATGAAAATCCCGTCTCTATTTCATAGTCATGCATTGTCATTCGTGTCGACTCTCATGCTTCTTCGGACCGAGATGTTGCTTACAAAGTCAGTTGTTTGGAGACTGAAATAGTTGATATTATAGTAAGAGGTCGGTGTGATCAAAATAATATATTCGGCATTACAGCATTCACTAACAAGCTTATGATTACCATCCTGTTATATTTTGTTATTGCCAAGTATTTGTTAAGTTACAATACCTATACTTATGTCTGGGAGTACTTATATTTTATTATCCGCATTTTTCAGTGTCTCTGTCAATAATTAAACAATCTTAAAAGCCAATATATGAGTCACGTATTAATACAAAAGCATGTTCGTACCAAGGATGAAATGAATTTCAACTCAGACACGTG